TAGTCAGTCTTCACAGTTCTACGAAGTATGACATAGTCTTTTTTAAGCAGTCCAGGAAAGAATAAGGGTGAACAGCGAAGAAGAATAGGTAAGACGCACGAGTTGACAAACTGTAAGAGGAGGGGTAGGAGGAGTTCAGTTATACCTGAGCGCCTAAATCTCAAACGAAATATTCTTTTAGAAATCGCTAAGTAATCCGAAGACCAGGATAGGTCAGAAGAAAGAATTAATGCAAGATACTTAACTTCAGACTTGGTTTCTAAATCAGTCTCATCAATTTTGTAGTGGTCATAGGAACCAACAGCTTCATTTAACTTTCTTTTACAACGGAAACTAAAATTAACAGTCTGACATTTGAGAGGATTTAGTTTAAGACCATTAGACAGAGACCATTTGCTGACACCTCATAGAGGCCCAACGGGATATTACCACTCGCCCTACTGACAGTCAGTCTTCAAAGTCCTATGTAGTGTTGTAACAACAGAAGACAAGAGCCAGGCAACAGATCGTTTATTAAGGAAAATCAACACATATTTATAGATTTCAATGTACATTATTGTAGATTATTGTAAGCAAACAAACACAGTCTTTTGATTGGTTGTTTCTCACAGAAAGTTAACCTTGCATCTCTTTGTGGCTGTGTCAGATCATCTATATGCTAACTGTATCCGCCTACGCAAAGCCTTTGTTCTCATTTTCTCACGACCAATATTGGGGACATAAACATTGACGTCAAATACTGTCTACCAACTTTGGCTAGCAACCAGTTCTCACCACAGTATGACAGTCTTTTTTAAGCAATCCAGGAAAGAATAAGCGTGAACAGCTAAGAAGAATAGGTAAGATGCACAAGTTGACAAACTGTAAGGGGAGGAGAAGGAGGGGTTGAGTTATTCTGTGTACAGTTATTATCTTTGTAAGTGTTCTCATCGTCAGAGTTAGTATATTTCTACTTATAAAACTGTCATAAATTACTTAAAACTACCTTCATTATTCCTTTAAAGCTTAATACCTATTAACTTAAGTTTACTTTCGAAGATCACATGATCGAAAAAAAAACTAAACAGATTATACAGATATGGCGAGACTTTTCTTGACCTTAGATTGGCTTTTTTTAAAATCTTTTCAACGTTTTACAAGACAATCTATCAACTAGATGTTTAGCAAGCACACACACACTTGTACAATATGTGTATCACAGTAGGAGTGTTTCACAGTTAATATGAATAACAAATGCATATATTGATGCATATGAAATCACGATTTGTTTTTGTCTGATGCGTTTAAATCCCTGTCTGTCTGTCTATCTATCTATCTATCTGTCTGTCTGTCTGTCTGATGTTCGATTATTGCGCTCCTTATACAGCCACTCTGGATAGTGTTCTTTGACCCTTTTTGACAGGATGCTCATTGAACGATCGATGTACCTGGTTGGCTCCACAGCAACACGTGAACTGATATATACACATAGAAATGGTCAGGTGCGGGATCTTGTCCTTTGGGCTTCGGCAGATCAGCGGGCGACTGGAGAACACTACTCTCAATGTTGTTGTTAACTACCAACTTAATCACTTTGAACTTCAGACTAAAAATAAGCTTCATGGTAGCATCCAGTGACAAAAACTGACCTACACACTACAAAATAAGCAAAACGTCCAAAAAAACCTTTGAATTTCAATAGCAAACGAATTCACGAAAACTTATTACTGGTGGATGCAGGAACCCACCATGACCTGAAAACTGGCTATAGCATCTTTCTGAATAACAAGTGCAGTTATTGATGCATATGGAATCACGATTTGTTTTCGTCTTATTCGTTTTAATTTCTCTCTCTCTCTTGTTTCGCATCATCCATTATTGATGAAGAGATCGTGATATTTTGAAAATTTTAGGTTGTGAATTGTTTAATTTTTGTTTACGGTGTAGACACATCATGACGAAAGACGCGATCTCTTCATCAATAACGGATGATGCGAAACAAGAGAGAGATCAAAACGCATCAGACAAGAACAAATCGTGATTCCATATGCATCAATATCTGCATTTATTATTCAGAAAGACGCTAAAGCCAGTTTTAAGGACATGGTGGGTTCCTGCGTCCACCGGTTATATGTTTTCGTGAATTCGTTTGCCATTGAAATTTAAAGGTTATTTTTGGACATTTTGCATATCTTAAAGAGTTGAGGACAATTCTTGTCACTGGATGCTACTATGGTGCTTATTTTTTAGTCTGAAGATTACAGTGATTAAGTTGGTAGTTAACAACAACATTGAGAGTAGTGTTCTCCAGTCGTCCGCTGATCTGCAGAAGCCCAAAGGACAAGATCCCGCACCTGACCACTTCTATGTGAATATATCAGTTCACCTGTTGCTGTGGATCCAGCCAGGTACATCGGTCGTTCAATGAGCATCCTGTCAAAAGGGGTCAAAGAACACTATCCAACGTGGCTACAGAAAGGAAGTAGTGGCCGCATAAGGAGTGCAATAATCGAACATCTCGTCTATACTGGTCATTCCATCTCAACAAACGCCTACTTCTTCAAAGTAATCTGCAAAGTGAAGAACATCCTGCCTGCCAAAGACAATACGTTCCCGTCTTCTTTGCATCGCAGAAGCCCTAGCCATTCAGTTGGAAGAACCAGAACTATGCATACAAAAGAAAATTATTCAACCACTTCTACTGTCATGGTGACAAGTCCGTTGATTTGACTTAACTTTTGTTTGTATGCTTACTTTTTCTAGCTACTTAAAACCCTTGCGTAATTCCGTATGTTATTTTATTTCCATGTACACCCTGAGCACAACTCTTTCATCAAACTATTCACGTTATTACGTAACTCTTCTTTAACAATCATTTGTGACAACTCATCACTTTTGTTACTACTATCCACTTATATCAACATCCAATTCATCTGAACTTACTAATTGTATTTTCGTTTGACAAATCTGCAATCACTGAGCTAATTCACGTATATACTATGCTAATACAGTAAGGTGTTCATAGCACAAAATGAAATCTAATTGCAGTCTCTTAAGCTTATTATAATGCTGAATTTAATCTTGCTAATTCTGTACTACCTGTAACATTCTTTAGTAAGTAAACTCCGAAATTGTTCTGAAATTGTTTGACTATTTTCACAAGCTGGAACTGTGTGTGCTGGTTTATCATCATGACTGGCACTAATTCAGCATCCTGTTTTCAGAAGTAGCTCATTAGCCTTATTTCAGCCCTCCTAACCCGGATTCAGCGCCCGGTGCTCCTTTTCAAGAAGGACCAGGGTTATTTCAGGTAGATAAAATATTCATTTACCGTACAAAGGGATAATTGACGTGTTGGTTAGATTTCGCTGAGTATCGTTGCAAGGTTGGTCTTTTAAGCGTCCCAAGCTTACTATTATGCTGAATTAAATCTCACTAATTCTGAAATAATTCTAACATTCTATAGTGTGAGTAAATTCTGAATCTGTTCTGAAATGTATTCTCTAATGGCACAGACTACAACTCAGTGCAGGTTTTCAGCATGACTGGTACTAATATTCAGCGCCGTGTTCTTTTTCTAGGTATTTTCAGGAGTAGATTAGAACCTACTGGGTTTGCTTATCAGCGTTGTTCCAGCCCACACAGGACATATTAAGCACGGACTGTCTGGCGTTATGTCAGAAAGAAAAGACTTAATGCGGCACCCAGCTCTCTTTTTAAGCACGACCAGTGTTATTTCAGAAGATGGTGGGTAGATAAAATATTCATTCTCCGTAAAAAGGCGTTGTTGACGCGTAGGTTAGAATTAGTTTAGAATCGTTGTAAAGTTGGGCCTTTAAGCGTTGCTATGGTATAAGTGATGGATCCTTTTAGTCACCGTTACTCTGGATATGTTTTGAACCAGTAATCTTCGGCGGATAAAACGTAGTAAATAAGGCACAGATTGGTGTAATTTCTAGCTGACTTCCAAAGCGCGTTCTCATCACAAAACAATCAACCAAAGTTTGCTTTTAACTGTCACTCTTAGGCATTTAAGGGGAATAGAAGTGTGTAACAGCAGTTTAGACATAAATGTTTATATTGCGAATACATACGGAAAGAATAAGGTGATACAAACAGGTCACACAGGTCACTGAACTGACAACTTGAAAAGGTGGATCAGTTAATACATATATATATATATATATATCTATATGTCCCAATTAAAGACACATTAAATGTTTAGAAATTGTAGTTGAATTATATTCGCCTAGTAAGCAAAAATGCATACGTCCTACTTTGAACTTAAAATAAATGTATCAAAATTACTGTTGATTTATATTCACTCTTACTAGAAATTCTCATACATCTCAATGTACTTTAAACACCACTAATGCATCCAAATAGCATATGAATCATCACACATCACATGCCATTATATTATGGTAAGGTAAGTCTTCAATTAAACTGACTGTAAATTTCCGTGTCAAAATAAAAAAATTACCGCTTTAACTGATATTTTAGACCAGGAGGTCAATCGTGAGCCCGAATAGCTCAGTGGTAACGTCTCTGATTGCAGCTCTCACTGGCTGGCGCTGGTTCAAATCTCAGAAGGGACATGAGTCCCCTCAAGGTTGCAGATACGCCTTGCTGACTGGGGAGTGCCAACTAGCACGAAACCTAGGTCGAAGGTTTCCTTTGGCCGATTGCCTTCAAGCATCTAGTACCAGCAATTCACAGTGCACCGTAATGGCGAGCCACCTAGTATGATGGCCACATCGCAAGCTTGACTGATAGAATTTAGTCTGCAGCGAAGATAGGACTAGACACATTACACTAGTTACTGACTAGTGTGCAATCGAAAATATGGAATTAAATTTCACCACCACAATGTTCAAGTTCTCCATTTGCCTTAGTTTCTCACATTGTAGTAAAACATAAAATTTCAGTGATCACTAATGAAGAACCTTATTTAAAAGAAATGTGGTTTTATTTCATCTAGTAATTATTCCTTTATTGTTTCCTCCTTGTCCATTAATTAGGCAATTGGAGAATTCATCCTAACACATCCTAATATTCGTATAAAACCACGTGGAAATATCTATTCAATTAATGAAGGTTATGCTAGCCTATGGGATAAAGCGATTACAGAATATGTGAAAAGGAAAAAATTTCCAGAAGTAAGTTATTATTATCATTTTTATCATTATATTGAAATATTATCAGTTCCCCAGAATGTGTAGATGTCACGAATGAATAAATACTTGCTGGAATAATAATTTGAGCATCGAGTCACATTGAATCATTTAAAATAATTCCAGTGTGTTTAAGAAGACAAAAATCAAAAGAAGACCGTTTTTTATGAACGTTTCGCTGTGTAAGCTGCCACAGTTTCTTCTTCTACATCAGAATTACTCAGATTTTATTAACTATCATCAAAATATGTAGGCAACATGTTACATAAATTGAAGTGAGTTCCGTTGAAGGTCACTTGTCGGTAGACATTTCTACCAATAGGAAAATGTGTAAACAATCATCATCACATATTTGTGGTGACTTATGTCAAATTAGAACTGGTGAGGAATCATGCTCCTGTCGACACCAAGTAAAATTCTCAGTCGCATCATCCTGGAGAGAATACAGGACGCACTGGATACAGAACTCCGACCAGAGAAAGCTGGATTCAGGAAAAGCAAATCATGTTCTGACCAAATTGCAACTCTACGCATCATCGAACAAAGCATGGAATAGCAATCAAACCTCTTCCTCAACTTTATAGACTTTGAGAAGGCCTTCGACGGCGTTGACCGCGAAGTAATTTGGAAACTACTCAAGTACTACGGCGTACCCCAAATATTCATCAACCTTATTCAACAGCTGAACGACAACGGCAGATGTCTAGTGATCCACAACGGAAAACTCAGCGAGGCGTTTAGAGTAAACACAGGAGTCAGACAAGGTTGCTTATTATCACCAATGATATTCCTAATTGTGGTGGACTGGATTATGCGTCAGACAGTGGGAAACGAGAAGACAGGGATATCCTGGACCGACATGAAGAACCTAGAAGACCTGGATTTCGCGCGTGGATGATTTATTTTTGATGTCACACAAAATCGAAGACTTACAAGCAAAAACCGACAAACTGGTCGAAGAAGCAGCAAAGACAGGACTCCAGGTGAACATAGACAAGACGGAGGTTATGAAAATAACCAACCAACAACAACAGCAGCAACATCCAGCGCCAATCAACATCAACGGGAGGGATTTGAAAGAGGTTACTTCTTTCACTTATCTAGGGAGCATTGTCTCAACTACACGAGAAACGGACGGACGAGGATGTCAAATCGAGAATCGAAAAGGCGAGAAACACATTCATCAACCTGAAACCAATCTGGAAATCTTCGTCACTCAGCCTGCATCAACAACAAAATTCGGATTTTCAATACAAACGTTAAGTTAGTCAGTTCTTCTATAGGGATCAGAAACTTGGCAGGTCACAAAGAATATTTCCAACAGCCTGTTGCAGACCTTTATCAACAACTAACTGTCTTCGCTCTATACTGAAGATCAGGTGGCCGGAAAGAATCACCAGTAAGAAACTATGGGAAGAAACAAAGTAACAACCGATCGCCCAACAAATATGCGGGAGAAAGTGGAGATGGACACTCGCTGAGGAGGCAGCTTGGTGACATCGCGCGTCAGACCCTCTGAATGTTTCGCCGTGTAAGGCGCCACAGCTTCTTCTTCTTCAGCAGAATTACTCGAATTTTATTAACTGTCATCAAAATATATAGTCAACAAGTTACGTAAATTGAAGTGAGTTCCGTTGAAGGTCACTTGTCGGTAGATATTTGTACCATTAGAAAATGTGTAAGCAATCATCATCGAATATTTGTGGTGACTAATGTCAAATTATAGAAATTCAAAAAACAAGTGATTCAGCGAAGAGACTCTTTTCGACAACGAATTTATTATCAAGCTGTACAATCGTATATGATATGGTTTTCTATTAAGAATTTATATCTGGTGGGGGAATTGAATCATAGTTGTGAATACATGAAATAATAATAATAATAGTAGTATGAAATACAATTAAAATTAGAATGTTTTTGATTTTAATCATAGTTCATTGTGAAGTGGCAAAACAATTAATGTCACATATATAGAATAATTCATAAGGTGTATAGGACTTCGGAAGGGAGTGTGAAATTATAGGCTTAGTAGGCAAATAGAATAGAACAAGTATTGGTTTGTAGGTTTTTTGTTGTTGTTAGATTACTGGGAGGATTTCATCATGAGCTGACATCGGTTAGAAAACCATTGGAAAATTCCTAGGAGTAATAATTCCCTTTATGATCTGCCGTATTCGCAGAAGTCATTCATCTAGAGAAATTACAAAACGAAGTTGAAACTTATAAGTTTAGACATTAAGAATTTAATCTCTACTGGTAATATTTAAGTCCAGAATCCTCTTTACTTATCAAATTGGAATCACCACGTAGTACCATGAGGTATATCATGTAACTTATTAAAATGTACTTATGTGCATACTTAAGTAACTAACTGGTTTCAGCGTAAAACTTTGCACAGAAGGGCAGCAGTTCGAGTTGCCATTCTCCCTCCATGTAGCACACAAATCAAGAAAAGAGAATAAACAGAGGTTCAAAAGAGAGGTAGGTAATAAACTGAAATGTGAGGCAAAAAGAACAGTAATACGAAAGAACAATAGAATTTTATCGGATATGAGAAATCATCCGTCGGTGCCTATATCTCATTCAGGGAGGTGTTGGATGTCCGGCAGGTTAAGTGTGGCTGTGGGCCAATTAAACTGCTCCTCATAGTGTTCTTTCCAGCGCTTCAGACGTCTATCTATGAGAAATCATAGGGAGTGGATGCATCTGAGCCAGCCATTGAGGACGATTTTGAGCCATATCATCACCAATTATCGTCTCCAGCCGTCATTGGTTCTTATCATTCGGAGGACTTGAACCAGTCAGGAAGTCTACACCTCCCTATGTGGATGGCTTAAACTAACTGACCACAACTAGCTCTTTTTCAACCTAATCCATTGTCAGCCAATATTCTTTGTAGAGGACGGCGATGGGCAAGCATACATGCGTAACAGATGTCCTAACCATCTCAATCGATATGACTTCACAACTTCGTCGATTGATTTCCCCTCCTTATCTAACACTTTACACCCAACCTCCTCAATATTACTCACCTTATCATACCAACTAAAGTGGGAAATAAATCGTAGAGACCTATGATGAAAGACAGCTAGCTAGCTTATTCATGTCTTTCATGTCTCACTCATATCCATAAAGGTGGATGGGACGAACTGCTGCATAGTTAGCACATCCTTTTATCGGTAGACAGTCGGATATCACGTCCACTAAGCCAGAGGTGGAGTAAGTTGGTAAGTGGCGAACGAGCCTCCTTTATCTGTGCTGAGGCTTATGCAACCCCCTAATAAATGAATTAGTCAACACTCTTTACCACTTCACTCCCAATCTTTAATCTAGGAGTCAATGTAGTCCAGTCGTATAGCATCATCTTACATTTGATGGGAGAAAATTGTATTTCAAACATTCGCAGATTTCCGCTCAAGGTATATTCAGAGGACTGTACATTTTGTCAGGGAACACTGGATATCTGTTTCATCCTATTTTGAAACTCTTCATCAGCGCAAACCCATGACCTCTCCAGCGAACGAACTTTGGGGTCTTCGGGTTACGCGATCAATCTCGTCGACCACTCAGAGACACTTAGGCTAGAATTCAGTGACCTGTGAATTCAATTGCCAGTTGATTAATAACTTCTGGAAGGATGTCCTAAAACTGTAGTGAGAAGTCTTAACCACCGGTGGAGTCCACCATGTTAAGGTGAAGGGGATACCTATCGAAGACATCATTGGTAAAGGGCTGTGATATATCTCGAAATGACAAATTTAGAATCTAGGAAAAATCCCCATTTAGACATTTAGAAAACGGGAAGATTGAGCGAAGAAATATTTACTTTTCAATTAGATCCTCATCTATCTCTGGATCTACTCTAATATACACGTATAGCATTTTTATTACAATACACAACAGTTTACCAATCAAGTGGCACTTATAGGTTTGTTAACAATAACTAGTCAGTGTCAACATGCCAAATGAGGGTGATAATTAAGAAAGAAAATCAATACACATTTAAAAGGTAGAAATGGATAGAATAAATTAATTTTACAAGGATAACACGTAATTAAAGATGAAGTAGTCAGAAAAATAAAATAATTTGGACAATTATAATTTTTTTAGGGTTTAAAGGTTTAGGGGGAGGGGGGCAACGTAGTCCTGTTTATGCATTCTTGTAACGATGGCGACGGGAAGGAAATTGGCTGTCCAAATTTCTTCTGAACAGGCACCGATTTGGGCTCTTCAGGTGGATTCCTATTGCTTCAGCTGTCGTATGTAGAAGACGAACTCGTAGAGCAAAATTAAGGTTAGTAGGAATGTGATGAATAACTTTAAATGCAGTATTCACATCAACCTTATGGACAGTATCAACAAAGTGTGCTGAAATTCAGTAACGAATAGATCTTGTTTGTCCCTTGCTTAACCATGTTGGATGATGTTCAGAAATACGACGATGAACCTGTGGGTCATAGAATTCCAGCCTAACAAGGCCGAATGGTCAACGAGGTTGGTCTCATAGGCTGAAAGAAAGTTTTGGATTCGATCACTAGTTGGGCTCTTGGGTCGGTCCTGATGGAGAGTCCCACAATAGGATGAAACAGCTGTCTAGTGTTCCCTGGTTTTCAATAGTCTCTCTAACTGAAGTTGGTTTGTGACGCAAGTCTAATAATTGAAATTTGAATATTTGTTTAAATGATTGCGATAATCTCCTATTGTGCAGACAGGTTTGTAGCGATGGCCATCAAGTTTAAAATAGCTGATACTTTTTGAATGAGGAGGTTTCTTTCGATGAACTTAACTGCTAACCATTACTAGTATAGCACAATTCCGTAAATAGCTATGCCTGAGACTTTTGTACCAACTGAGATTTATCGATTCAGCACTCGACAAAATTCAACAAACGGGAATGTTAAATTCCAATGAACTTTCGTCAAGATTTGACAGAATAGTTCTAAAATATTTGGGTGCCGAGTGAGAAGTAGACATTTGTAAAAGATTATTTTTGTAAAATCTCAGCGAGATTGAAATGAGTAATTCCAACGTTTCCTGCGTTCGGCAATCTGGTCCGAACTTCTTCAGGGAAATTAATCGAAATTAACAACGGATCACAGCTCATAACATTTTGTTTATGATACATGTTGATACCTGTTTCATGACTCAGGATTGGACAAAGTTTTCAAAAACAAGTGATGTTCCTTTTATATATAAACCTCTGTTATGTTAATTTCGATTAACTTCCCTGAAGAAGTTCGGACCAGATTGCCGAACGTAGGAAACGTTGGAATTACTCATTTCAATATCGCTGAGATTTTACAAATATAATTTTTTACAAATGTCTATTTCTCACTCGGCGCCCAAATATTTTAGAACTATTCTGTCAAATCTTGACGACAGTTCTTTTGAATTATTTTGCAATCGAATTAAATTAACAAAGAAACTGTGTAATTGGAACAATCATCGTGTTTTCACTCTCCGTTGTCTGCAACAGAATGCATATCCGAAATCCGTAGATGTCGAGTCACCTGACAACTCCGGTAGGTCGAATAAAGCAGCTCAATCTTCAGAAAGAAGGCAGAGCAATAAGTCCGACAGGGTGCTTCTACTAAACTCTAATCCTAAACACCATAATTTTGAAATACGTCTAATCATAAAATTCTAGATGCTAACAGTGTGAACAGACATGAAGGTGTGGTGTTAGCTGATGCATAGGAAATCCTTATTAATAAATAAAAAATGGATATGTATCACTAATTATTAATACTTGGTCAAAATTCTCAACTGTCCATATCTTCTTATGGAGACGTTAAGAAATGTTTCACAACTGTTTACCCACACACACACACATACACACTCTGTTTAAAGTGTTTAATAAGGGCAGACCAATATTTGTAAGTCTGGGGTCAAATTTTGATCACAGCTCATACAATTTTGTTTATTATACATGCTGATACCTATTTCATTACTCATGATTGGACAAAAAATTTTAAAACAAGAGATGTCCCCCTTTTTATATATATACCTCTCTTGTGTTAATTTCGATTAATTTCCCTGAAGAAGTTCGGACCAGATTGCCGAACGTAGGAAACGTTGGAATTACTCATTTCAATCTCGCTGAGATTTTGCAAATATAATAATTTTTTACAAATCTTAAATTCCATTATTCAAGTCATTTAGTTAAAAAAAATGAGATTCTTACCTTCCCTACTTATTCTCGATGGTTCGTGGAATTTTAACTCATCCCGCAGTTGCTTTTTAATGTTTATCTAATCTTTTAGTCTGGTAAACCGTATGGTGCTCGTTATATTGGATCTATGGTGGCTGATGTTCATCGTACTTTGGTGTATGGTGGAATTTTCCTCTATCCAGCGACTAAAGCATCACCCCAAGGAAAAGTAAGTAATACAATCGAACAGTGTTCAAATGTTACTAATGCCTGCATTTAATCTTTTCTTTACTGGAAAAGCTGTATAGTAGATTGGTGATGCGATCACAGTGGCTCTACAAGGCGCTTATTGGTACGATTTGAAATATTATTATTATTATTATTATTTTAAGTTTGGCCGCGAATTGAAAACCATTGAAAATCAACTAGGAAGTAATGGACAGTTGTTTCGTCCTTGTTTCGGACTTGTTGGCAGTATGAACACACTACTACACGGGCTCGAACCCAGGACCTTCCGATTACAAGGCGACCTTATGGACCATTCAGCCGTTGGGACTCGACTCAACGAACCTTGAATATATTACAGCTTCTGTCAGTTGACGCTATAAATACATATAGCTCAACCGATAGTGAATGGCTAGTCGTCGCAGTATATCGGGAAGTGGCAGAAGTTGGAATTCATGGGCCATTTGGTCGAGTCCCAGTGGCCTAATGGTCTACGAGCTCGCCTTCTAACCGCAAGGTCCTGAGTCTGAACCGCTGCACTGGGTGTGTACTATTGAAGTGGAGTCCCAAACTAGGCTGACGAAACAGCTGTCCAGTACTCCCTATTCGATTTCAGCTCATGATGAAATCGTGTTATCTTACTGTTATTATCTCCCATGAATTCCACCATTTATTATTATTGTCATTTTATTATCGCTTAATTCCAGTTAAGACTCCTCTATGAATGTAATCCAATGGCATATATTATGGAACAAGCTGGTGGCATGGCAACCAATGGAAAAATACCTATCTTAGATATTCAACCACAAAGTATTCATGATCGATGCCCAATATTTCTTGGTAGTAAAGAAGATGTCAGGGAATTAATGGATCTTATTGAAAAATGTTGAAAAAAACACAACAAACAACAGCAACAATAATCATATTGTCTGTCAATGCTTTTTTACGCCTGCCTCCCTACTGCTGTTTTCCCTTTCTGCTGTTGCTTTTTGCTTTCTATTACTATTAAAGTATTGAATGGGGTGTGTTGTGTAGACGTTAGGATGAAAATTATGCTTTCTTGCTCTCTTTCTTTTATTTTTTTGTTTTTCTAACTGAAATCATCAGCATCACCATGTGATTATCATTCAGGGGGTATGTGTGTGAGTGTGTGCGTACTTTCTGCTCAGGGCAGTGTTGTTTTTTCCTTTTTTGGCTCTCATCAATTTGTAATTTAGTTGTTTTATTTTCTGATGTCTTTCGTGTTTTTTTTTACTACTCTTATGCTTCAGTTATTTTGCTTGCTTGCTTGCGTTTTTCAATGCGTTTCTTTTCTATAATTATTAATTCAGTTTATTTGAGAGTTACTCAAATGTTTGTTTACCGTTAGAAGTTAGTTAGTTAGGTGAAACTGTAGTTCATTGGGTTCGGGGCTCAACTTTCAACCGCTAGGCGCACACAGGTTTGAACGCCTTCTCTACACTTACCGAGGTTTGGGTCTTGAACAACTTCGAGTTCGCTTTCAATTGGTGTCAACTAGATATCATGCTCATAATTAATGTGTAGCCACCATCTGTCCTGCTTGACCTGAGCTTTGTGGCTACACTCACTACCTGGCTCACCCTATCTGGCCACCAGATAAGATGAAGAGAGAGTATAACAAACACGTGTGGCTACTGAAAGGTGTATTTATTGACGATTATTTGAAGGGTAGTGTGTATAGACATGCCACATTCAGAATTCCATTATGGGTAAATTTTTATTTTGATAGAGTCTCACAGTGTTATACAGTAATATTTACTGATGACGTTTCGAGCACAATTTATTGCTCATAATCATATCAAGGTAATCACACGACTTTCTAAATTCATTTATATAGTTCCATTGCATTTCACTTGATTTGATTGGTAGTATTATTTTCCATATTTCGGGTATGAGTGATGAATCATTCCTATTGCATGTGTTGGGTGTAGACTCGATGAAGAAGGATTCAGTAGGTTAAAGGACCCAGTTGACCCATTTAAACAAAATAATATAATTTACAAAATACCCTGCAGTGACTGTGAGGTCAACTACATAGGTCAAACTAGTAGGTCAGGGGTAGTCAGATTGTCAGAACATAAGAATTTAGCTAAGGTAAGAATGGTTGACCCAGAGAAGATAAGTAATTTAGAAAAAAGCTCAGCAATTGCAGTGCATGCATTAACACACCGTCACACAATAGGGTTGGAGAGGGTTAAAATTCTAAAAAGTAATCTAGTTAGGTGGGGAGAGAGGTTGATTACTGAATCCTTGTACATCGAATCTACACCCAACACATGCAATAGGAATGATTCATCACTCATACCCGAAATATGGAAAATAATACTACCAATCAAATCAAGTGAAATGCAATGGAACTATATAAATGAATTTAGAAAGTCGTGTGATTACCTTGATATGATTATGAGCAATAAATTGTGCTCGAAACGTCATCAGTAAACATTACTGGATAACACTGTGAGACTTTATCAAAACAAAATTTACCCATAATGGAATTACACTCTACCACACTACACAAGTTTTATTCTTATATCAATGATACACATTCACACTACAACGAAGCTGGTGAGCTCGTGTTCCATTGAATCAAAATACCTACTACAGGAGGTCAGTCGCGAGCCCGATAGCTCAGTGGTAACGTCTCTGACTGCAGGCGGCACTGGGTGACGCGGGTTCGAATCTCAGAAGGGACATGAGTTCCCTCAAGGTTGCAGATGCACCTTGATGACTTGTGAGTGCCAACTAGCACGAAACCGAGGTCCAAGTCTTCCTTTGGTCGACTGCCTCCAACTATCTAATATCATCAAATCAATGTGCACCGTGATGGTGAGCTACCTAGAATGGTGGCCACATTGCAAAAGCTGACTGATAGAATTCAGTCTGCACCAGAGAAGGGACTAGACACGTCACATTAGTTACTAGTATCCAATCAAAAAACTGACTATAATATTGTTCATTCTCAATCATGCCTCGTTTCGTGTGCATGTACGTGATTGCGCAGTTATATCTGTTGAGGACCATTTTAAATCCCTTTATGGAATATAGGGCTTCAGCGGCACATCTCTACATCGTCCTATTCTTTGCAGTCCTTAATAGCTGGCCTCATGATTACCCATAGACTCTCATCTCCTTCATGTCATCCTTGATGCGACGACCAACTTGTCATTTCCATTTGGGTTCCACCTGAGCGATGACCGGGCGCACAACGTCATTTGACAGTCACCCCAATGGCGTGTGTCCGATTCATCTCAATTTTCTTCTACATATCTGCTGAGCAGTGAGTTCTTGGTTGGCTCGTCACCTCCCTTAGTTTCATGTTGATAATTCCGGTTTTGACATCCTTACCTGCGCCATCTGCCTGTAGTTGAGACTATGTTTCCTAGATAGGAAAAGAAAGTGACATCCTCCAAAATTGTTTGCGTTGATAGTGATTGGTGCTGGCTGTTGTTGTCGGTTGGCTGGTTATCTTCATCACCCCCATCTTCTCTATGTTTACTTGAAGTCTTGTGTTCAGCGGCTGCTTCTTCCTCCAGATTGTTGGTTTTCGCTTGCAAGTTATTGAGTTTGTGTGATATGAGACATAATTCTTCCGTGATATCCAAATCTTCTAGAGTCTTCTTATCGGTCTAACGTATTCTTGTCTTCCCGCTTCCCACACGCTGTCTCTGGCATAATCCAATCCACTACAATTAGGAATGTCATCGGTGATAGTAGGCAGACAGCCTTGTCTTACTCCTGTATTCACTTCGAAGGGTTCCGTTGTGGATCACCTGATACCAGGCATTGTCATATAACCAGCTATTGAATGACGTTGATGAATATTTGAGGCACAAACTTCTACTGCTTTGATGTCGTTCTGAAATTGCTTCTTAATCAACGCCGTCGAATGCCTTTTCCAAGTCGATGAAATTGAGGTAGGGGTTTGACTGTGATTCTATTCTCTGTTCGATGATGATGCGTAGAGTTAAAATCCGATTCGCATATGACTTGCCTTTTATGAATCCAGCTTGTTCTGAGAGACGGAGTTCTGCAACCAGTGTATTTTTTATTCTCTCCAGGATGACATGGCTTAGTATTTTTCTTGGCACGGACAAGAGCATTATTCCCCGTCAGTTCTTGGAGAGGTCTAAGTCACCCATTAGTTTACTCTCAATAAATACATCATATATTCTATAGGAAGTATACACTGACCGGGACTATTGTGATGTGTCTAATCCTTAGTACCGACTGAATTCTGCTAGCTGACAAGTTTACAATGTGGTCCAAAAGATTGTGACGTACAGGAATGATGGGCTGTGGATCGATGTTGAATGGTTGGTTTCATGCCAGCTGGCGCTCACCAGTCAGCAAGGCGTATCTCCAAACTTGAGGGAAACAATCCCCTTTTCTGAGAACTGGTGCGTAATCATGCTCCTCTTCACTCTAAGCAAAATATTAAGCCATATCATCCTAGAGACACTAACAGACGCTCCTCCTGGAATATATTAACTTCATATGCGGAACTAACTGCAAAGCTACACGTCACATCTTCAAACAAAGCATAGAATGGCCGTCAAATCTGTATCTCAGCCTCATCGATTTTGGAAAGGCCATCGATGTCGTCGACTACGAAGTAGTTTAGAAACTGCTTCAACCTCATTCAGAAGTGACATGACGTTGGCACATGTCAAGTGGTTCACAACGGAAAGCCTGTCGAAGGTTTTGAAGTGGGGATAGAAGTAGATAATACAAGGTCGCCTACTATCACTGATAACATTCTTGATTGCGGTGACAAACAGTGGGGTGAGAGATGGGCATAATTTGCACCGACAAGAAGATTTTAGATCAGTGTCTAACATCACACAAACTGGGAGATCTACAGGAGCAAACCAACAAGTTGACGGAAGAAGCAGCAGGTGAAGACAGGACTTCAAATGAACATAGAGAAAACAGAGGTGATTGGGATACCTAATCGACAACAAGAGGCATCTGTTGCCAACCATAAGAGAAATCTAAAGGAAATCGTCTTTTTCATTTCTCAAGACATCATTTCAACTGCAGGTGGAACAGATAAGAATGACCAAAGCAGGAGGGATCTGAAGAGCAAGACAGACCTCTAGTAATCTGAAATCAGTGCAAAGATCAACTGTAGTCTGCATGGGGAATAAGATCTGGATCTTAAACAAGAATAATATCAAGTTGTAACAACAGAAGACAAGGGCCAGGCAACAGATCGTTTATTAAGGAAAATCAACACATATTTATAGATTTTAATGTACATTATTGTAGATTATTGTTAGTAGAAAATACAATCTTTTGATTGGTTGTTTCTCACAGAAAGTTAACCTTGCATCTCTTTGTGGCTGTGTCAGATCATCCATGTGCTAACTGTATCCGCCTAGGCAAAGCCTTTGTTATCATTTTCTCACCACCAATATTGGGGACATAAACATTGACGTCAATCACTGTCTACCAACTTTGGCTAGCAGCCAGCTCTCACCACAGTTCTACTTCATTGTCGGTGAGAAAATAATCCTTGAATTGCCAATCGTTTTCCAATATTTTTGTTTCGGTTACCACACAGTATTCTTAGGCACCGATTAGTCTTCTGGAATCCGTGCTCGACTAAGATTCTTTTCAATCTGGACATTTGACAATGATACACCACCCACTTTTCATACTTCAGTTACTTAAAAATTATAAATGCAGCTGAAGACGAACTGGTTCCCTGAATACTCTCTCTTTAATGTCTAAACTCTTGAAAATAATGCAAAACTCACAAATTTGTAACTGATATAGCGTCGCCATTGTCTGTAAAGTTACGAAAGTTAACTATGCTTAAGATGTGTTGTAATAGAAGCTGATTTTACTAAGTGATCACCGCCATTTTCAACATTGGGCGTTGAATAGAGGTAAAACATTATGCGTAGTCACATTTTAATAAGAATAATACAATAAGACAGCTAATGATACTGAAGTATTACATGATAGTGATAATAATAATAATGACTAGATTATTTTGCTTGAAATCCAAAACACGTTTTCAGTTCTATTTTTGCACTGGACGGCTGGGTATGTCTGTATCCACAATGAGTGAAAGTATCCACCCTGAGGCTTCATTCATCATGAGAAACACTAAAGTGTTTTCCTTTAGGCCACTAACCACGAAAGTATTCTTTTCTGTAACAGGTCTCATTGGGATTCCCATCACTCATTGGATTAAAGGTACGGCCAGCTGACAGGTCTCAAAATAGGATGGAAAGTGCCTTCTAGATTCCACTGTCGGTCATTATCAGCCTAATCAACA